ATGTTCAACAACGTTGGCGTATGACATCACTACCGGTGACCGACTTTTACAAAATGGGACTTTCGTTGATTCAGGAATCGTGCATGCATAAATGTGACATGTAAGTAATCAGAAACATTCCGACAATTAGTGTACTGTTATTTGTTGTGATATTTTTCATTGAAACCAACGGAAATAGTCAGAAATTCCGATAAATACCGTTGTCGTTGTGCGTGATTTTGCGTCAGTCATGGCGTCACACATGACGGAAATTTTGACAATTTCTGTTGAAAATATCAACCATTGCAATGTATCTATTTTTAGTTCCCTAATTCTTCATACGATTCTCTTCCCATGCATATTCTGAAATTGTTGTGCCAATGTATTCAATGAATAGACGAATGTATAGTTCAAAATAGGAGAAAATGCTACATTGTGTAAAATCTGAATTTTGCTTTGTTTACTTTTCAAACAAGTGTAGTTTTTCGAGCACAGCGTTCGTTTTCACACCTAATTTATTTTGATTGATTTCATCTACACACTTTGTATTGGTGACAAGGACCATGTGTCATTTGATTCTACTCTGTATGAGGAATTCAAGGATGTATGTATCGCTGCTGAGTACAAAATTAACGTGATGTTACAGGCATCTCATAACCGATACATGTGAAACGTGATTTTGTAAACACTATATCCAATATATATGACGGAAAGTTCACTTCGGCGTTCGTGTTTGCGTATTTTCCAAGACATTCCAAACGATTCTAAGGCTATCTGCGACGTTTTGGAATGATCATTGAGGATTTGATCAAAGACAGATACCGGTGATGCTATGCTATTTTTGAAATTCATTTCGCCGAGTGAATAGCCGAACTTATTATTTCAAAACATGCTGTAAATAACGCCATGAGTGGTAATTTAGTAATGTGTAAAAAAAATGTCGACATTTACTATGCACCTAATTTTCAGTAATTTTGCTTGGCCAAAAATGCCAGTGGATGACATGACCAAACAGGGAATTTCCCACGGTATTCAAAACTGTGAAGTGTCTCTGTGACTGCTGTAGTTTGAATTTTATTCGACTTCAAAGTGAGGGTTGAAGAGGAGGGACAAATATGTCCCTCTATCATCCAAGGAGAAATTTGCCTGTGTCAGTTTCTCTACTTCATAACATTTTTAGGAATTTTGTAAGCATTCATTCTGGACAAATGTCAAACACCACAACCTGTAAACCATCAGTTTAGACCCCTGACACACAAATTAGTCCCTCAATGACATATCAGTCAACTCAAATTTAAACAAACGGTGTTAAACTGCCCTAAAGTAACATATCTGTCACTAGAATGTGATGCTATCAGTAAGATGCCAGATTTATTTATGTTTCTGGCCGCTCTGTGTGGGACTTCTTGGTCACTTCGAGGGGGAAACTGGGGACTGTCTTTTATCCAATTAAAAACATGTTTACATTTGTAGCTCCTCCTGTTTTAAGTTGGATATAGTAAGCTTAGTGATCAGTGATTGCAGGAAACATAGGAATTGGCCCCTCCTCCCTCTAAGATAGATGGAACCCATATTTTTGTGAATGACTTCATAACATTTTTAGGAATTTTGTAAGCATTCATTCTGGACAAGGTGTAAATGGACCTCGTTGCCCGAAAATCTATAAAATCTTCGGCCTACCTTTAGAATACAGGGCCCCGATCCACAAAGCCTTCGTAGCGCTACGAACATCGTAAAACCCGTCGTAACTTTATGACAAAAATCTTAAAGGGGAAGTGTACACGCAAAAATCACTTTCTTTCTTTTTCTAAACAAAACGTAATTTTAGAATTAGTTACTATCTGTGTTTGAAAATGTAAACTCATTTTTTTCACAGTGAAAGTAGGAAGCTCACAATAGTGTGAAAATGATATGCCGTTATGAGGCCTTCGTTTTTCGAGCTAACCAGGCCTGAGTTATCCCCCTTAGATTATGACGTAATTGCTGCCAATTCAACTGGATCCCTGTCTATTCTCAACGCAAAAGATATCAAGTACCAGTTTTCGGTAAAACAACATGGCCTACGACACACTCCGGCGCAGTGGTGACTCGGCATAACACTATGCTGGCTGGCATCTTAGACGCTAGAATCACACACCTGTACCTACACCACGTGAAGCGGCTCTAACAAAGCATGATGACGTCATAATGTTTATCAATTGGCACCAATGACGTCATATTGCAAGGGGCATAAGCCATGGTGTTTTTGTTATGAAAATAGAACACTTGGTAAATGTGAAAAATATAAATCGTTTAAATGCAAAACATATGTTAATTAATTGTGATATTTTTATATTTTTGTCTATGACACTACTAGGTTAACACTTGTAATGTGGAAAAAGTACAAGAAAAATAGGTTCATTTCCGTGTGAACTTGCCCTTAAGCGATCCACAAAGCTATCTTAGTGAAAATATATGAGTGGTCAGTACCTATCGTAAATCAAGCATTTCTGTCGTAACTTTAGTATCATTTTTTTAAGATGGCGGCATATTTTTTGCTTGGCTTAAAAAAAGGCATAACGATCACGACCAAGGGTGTTTCGAGACCGAAGTCGAGTACTTGACACGCTCGATGATGACAGCATAATCCGGCGCTACCGGCTACCACGTCATGCCATATTTGAACTTATAGACTTACTGAAACCATATCTTGCTTCCCAAACAGAGCGTTCCCATGCATTGTCCCCGGAAACACAGGTTTTGATTGCCCTCAGATTTTATAGTAGGGGGTCGTTCTGCACTGAACTAGCAGACTTGCATGGGGTATCCCAGTCCACTGTGTCACGGGTGTTTACCCGTACAAATGAAGCCATTGTCAAACAACTAAAACTGATTTCGTTCCAAAAGGCAACATCCGACCAACGTGTCACACGGAAATGAACCTATTTTTCTTGTACTTTTTCCACATTACAAGTGTTAACCTAGTAGTGTCATAGACAAAAATATAAAAAACATCACAATTAATTAACATATGTTTTGCATTTAAACGATTTATAATTTTCACATTTACCAAGTGTTCTATTTTCATAACAAAAACACCATGACTTATGCCCCTTGCAATATGACGTCATTGGTGCCAATTGATAAACATTATGACGTCATCATGCTTTGTTAGAGCCGCTTCACGTGGTGTAGGTACAGGTGTGTGATTCTAGCGTCTAAGATGCCAGCCAGCATAGTGTTATGCCGAGTCACCACTGCGCCGAAGTGTGTCGTAGGCCATGTTGTTTTACCGAAAACTGGTACTTGATATCTTTTGCGTTGAGAATAGACAGGGATCCAGTTGAATTGGCAGCAATTACGTCATAATCTAATGGGGATAACTCAGGCCTGTTTAGCTCGAAAAAAGAAGGCCTCATAACGGCATATCATTTTCACACTATTGTGATCTTCCTACTTTCACTGTGAAAAAAATGAGTTTACATTTTCAAATTTTCTAAAATTGCGATTTGTTTAGAAAAAGAAAGAAAGTGATTTTTGCGTGTACGCTTCCCCTTTAAAGCAATGCTCACTGCTGAATAAATAAAGAATAAAGAAAACTAAACAGCCAGTTGGACTATCACACACACACACACACACACACACACACACACACACGCACACACACAGGGACTTGAGAAAATAACTTTAATATCGATTTATGAATGCATGGTTGATGGAAGAATTATAAATATGTATATATAATCAAAAGGTTTCCAAGTGTGGTTTCCAAGTGGCCTGGTTCAACTCATGATTCGTTCATGCTACAAAACAGCAAGATTGGGCAGTATATGGAGACTGCTGGAAATGACGGATGGCTGGTAGGCGATTCAGGGTAACAGCAAATCATTTGTGTAAACATAAGTTGTATTGTAACCACTACAGAGATATGAAAACATATAAACAAGAAGTTGATATTTTGTAACTTGGCACACAGAAGACCATACTGTAATCATAATGTGATTTTCAGATTCCAATGTTTATTTCATATTAGTCACTTTAAAATATATTGATCATAAATTGAAAGCAGCGCCTATAAAATCTAGCTTTGAGTGAAAGTGATTTCCCCTTGTACTTAAACCCAAATTTCACAATGTAAACTGACACCAATAAAATTGTCACGAAATGAAATTACATTTGAAGTGAAATATATAAGCTGGTATTTTAAGTTGTCTTTCAATATTTAATGGTATGGTCAGTATGTTTAACAGAATTACACTTTTTCCATCAGATATGCATGTCGCCCATGGTTGCCTACGCCAATAGTTAACCCTACAACACCTTCTGAGGAATGTTACAACACTGCACACTGCAGAACACTCAACACTGTGGAGAGGGCTTTTGGACTCCTTAAATCCAGGTTCAGGCATGTATATGTTCATCCCTTATTCTACTCAATCATATATATCATTTTTCAATATTTGAGACATTAGTATGGCATACATTTGTGCTAATGACAGATTAAGATGTTATGCTTTAAGATAGTACTCATACTTTAAAGTAAATCAGAGATATGGTCTTTTTAGAAAATTTCAAGTTTTACACATAATAATGCGGCTAGTCTATCTTATCTGCATTCTGAACAAAGGGTAATGTTTGTGTTTATATACATTATTAGGTGCCTACATAAATCAGGTGGCTGCCTGCCGTTCCCCCCCAAGAATGCCATCAAGTTGTGTATGCAACCTGTCAGCTGCATAACTTCTGCATCAGCCTAAGATTGCCAGCTCCTCCTACACAAGAAGACCTGATCCAAGAAGATGGGATAGCTTACCTGGGACCTCTCAATGACGGCCTCAAAGTCCGACAAGCTGTCGTCAATAACTGTTTCTCTAAATGATTGTATGATTAAGATAAACGACTTTTTGTAACCGATGATAAATGACAACAGAAGCTACATTATCAGTATGAATTTTTATATTTGGGAAAATTAATCAAAGTTTAAAGGAACTGAATAATTGGTGATACATTCAGTTGGCCAGAGTGGCCAGCTTCCAGAGAAATGATGTAGGCCAATTTCTGTTTTTCCACATGTAATCTCTTTTTTTCGACCTCAAGAAGCTCTTTCAGCACATTCAGTTTCTCCCTCTCTATGTTCAGAATGTTATCTTTGTCTGAAAGAAATTTTCATTTTACATAACACCAGTCTCACAGCAACAGTTATGCCTCGTCCATCTGTATACAAAATTAATCAAAACAAAAATCAGTGTTTCTTGAGTAAATTGCATTTTTTCTCTTTCTATCATTTCAAATTTGATGTATTGCTGTACATACCACTGAGAGTCTTTGTGGCCTTAACATGTGAAACTGCATCAACTGTATTAAAGAAACAAATCATTTAACTGAGACATGTGAATGTTGTATTTAAAACATATCCACAGGAATATTAAGTAAACACCTCTCTCCCTGTAATACATAATACATAAACACATACAGAGATTGGAGTTTCAGGCATACAATTAATACATAAACACATACATACAATTAAAATCCATGAACTGTATTTCTAAGACCTGTGATGTTGTATACATGATTTCATCTTATCTTGTGGTAGGTATACCTGCAATAAACTATCACAGTTGCAAATCTCTCCCCACCCAGAACACTTAAAAGTTGTATTAAATTTATTGTGCATTATTTCCATTATGTATATGGTAATACCTTGAGGAACATCATCTGCCGACATCACACTCTCTGAGTACATGTATGTTGGTGGTACAAAGGCCCCATCATAAGGCAAATCCTGCAGGGCTTGAAGAGTCTCTGGAAAAACTGGAGTTGCTGGAGTAGTGTCTGTAAGTAATAAGATACATGTAGTTCCAATTTACCAATTTCTCTGCAATGAAAAAAGGCAAAATCTACAAAAAGTATGGTTATTAATGGAACTATTAATCAAATTTCAAAATCAACTTTAAGTTTATACTTCATCTTTTATCTTACATGATCACAATTACCTTTACTGTATGAGATAATCTATAATATGTCTGACATATGGTCATTAACATAAACTATGAGACCAGTTAAGTAAACAACTGCACATACAGCCATTCACACAACCAATTACGCAACTTACTTTCATATTCTTCACTTTCAAGGCCACCCTCACAACCTTGAATCGAGCAGGGAGGTATGAATGATACAACCTGAAATCAATATTTCTTTCAATGCATGTTACAATGTTAATGTTCTCTGTAATAAGGAATGAAGTACTTTACCTAATAACTTATTGGTCAAAAGATGACCTGTTTGTTATAATCACAATCTAACTGCTCCTTTAAGAGCTTTTCATATAAATTGTAAAATTACAATTCAACAGCAACTATATTCATTTGTACTTGTTGAGTACTCAATATGCCCACATATAAAAAAAAAAAAACACCCAATGATATAGCATTTATGAAATTCAAGATTGAAAAAGAAACTGTAGGCTCACCCGCTGTTCCATTTCAGTGAGGTTGGATGGTGGAGGCCCCCCACCAGTTCTCATTGCCTCCCTCCTTCTTTCAGCTTCTTTTTTCCTTGTTTGACTCCTGGTGGAACAAAATATATAAATGAGCAAACACACCTCATATTATCTAAAAAAAAGTACCAGTATAAACAATTTTAATATATATTTAATAACAGCTAAATATGAATGTTTCACTGAACATGTATGTCAGGACAAATACATGTTTTATACCATGCAATGAGTATTTGTTTACATAAAATAATATTATGTTCTGTGTGTATACACATACTTGTACTACAGTAGTCCATCCACTTCTTTTTAACATCTTTTGTCAGTCTCTTGACACCACTGTTTGCACTGATGCTGAAACAAGATCAGTGAACTTTAATAAATTGTCAAGAAAAAAAGTAATAGAGTGAAGGGTTAGAACTCCAAAATCCCAGCAACATAATGTATCGAGAGAATGTCTCGTCTAAAATACGGATAGAGTGGTGTCCCTTTCTAAGTGACAAACTGGCTGCTCGTGACACTGCAGCGCTAGTTCCAGTTTATGTATATCCTTTGCATTTGGGAAGTTATTACCAAAGACGGGTTGATGAAGTAACACCCTGTTGACAGGTTGGTGAAGATAGCCTACAGATATTTACCGTCAGAATGCTTTCCTCGCCCTGCAATATTCAACATAAAACATCGATGTGTTACGTGATCATTAGGCCTATTTACATATTTGTACTCCAGTTTATACCAGACATATGACACCCCCCCCCCCCCCCCCCCCCACACACACACACACACAAACACACAATTTCATTGAATCACTAACCTCTGTGAAATGTCCTCCCATGCTTTCTTCTTCATTCTGTTTGTCAAATTGTTGGTAAACGACAAAAACAACACGTTTTTCTTCGACTGTACACCCTCTATTAGAAGGGCTAACTCACTGATGATGATTTCGTGGATACACTATGAGGTTCGTAAAAACAGTATTATTTTGTCTGTTGAGAATGATAAATAATTATTTGTGCATGGTTTTCTTACTGTTTTTTTTTGTATGTTGGCAAAGAAAAGCGCAAAAGCAGAATAAATTAGCCTATAACAAATATCGAATAGCCAATATCCTCATGATACTGGTAACTGGGCCCTGTTCATCAGCTGTTCATTCACAGACCCAAACATTAAAGGGGCACTGATCTAACGCAATTCCCCGGGACTGGTTGTTGCCTTTGTTATTGTTTTTTCCCAGTGAATACCCGGATGTATAGCAGAAATCTAGACTAGTTCGCGACCTCTGCTGCGCCATTCGTAAGCGCATTAGTCACTTTATGGGTAGTAATAAGGGCGTATGGTCACATTGATCAACAAAATGAAATACAGTTTTCGAGATAATAAGGAAATGTAGGTATCTTTGTGAGTATCATCGGTAATGGTGACGACGTTTTGATAAGTCACTTGCTTGGTAATTTTGCGATTTTCGTTTACACTATTTTGACTTGCAACACAAAGTAAATATTTCACCTGAGCATATGCTTTTTTTATAGTGTGTATATTTTTTAACTGTCAAATGTGTAACAAATTTATTAAACGTCTAAATATTCAGTTATTTTACAAAGTGACGGAAAGACATTTCCATCTGTATTATTATGACAACGAATTCCAAACATTTTGATGTTTAATGTCATCACCAAGAGACTGAAAATGTAACGTTGAAAAGTACATTTCTAAGTTGTTTGGCTTTTAATCCTACATAATAATCTGTTGTGATGTTTGTAGGCCCTTTTGATCGTCTTGATCAATCTGGACAGATTTTTTAGTCAAAATGACTGAAATATTTACACATTTTATAAATTGCCTGAGAGAATCACATTTTACAAATTGACGGTAATATATACACGCTTACAAAGGAAAAGACCTGTGACAACAACGTCTATCGCGCATTGAAGAATTTCCCAACCAAGACGTAGAGAAACAAGAACGAATCGGTTCAAATGAAGGAAAACAAAATGCAGATATCATAAAATACAACCTACCAAATTTATGTGTATAAGTTTTAGGCAGCTTCCTTGTTCGAGGAATGTATCCGTGAATATCCACACAAAGGAACAATATCCCACTCGTCTGCAGCTGTACAAAGAAACTTATTCGATGTCACGTGTCTCAGTAACAATCAAATATTTTAAAAGATATATATCGTTTCGGGATATTATAACCCGTGTTTGTTTCTCAACTGATCGCTTGGATTGTTTCAGGTGTTTTACATAGGTGTCAAGTCTCAATGGTCGGCTGAGAAAGCCCACGTGACAACTATTTTCATAGCGTCCACGGTTCCTAAAAATTCCATTGAGTGATAGATAACAATGATCAATCAATCAACGTATTATCAGTTAACCCTTTGAACAAAGTATGTTGTTTTTACATCGGCACTTCGCGCCATGATATGAGTGTATTCCCTTTGTTTTAGTAAACCTAGACATGTAAACACTCACTCTTGACATATCCACTGTGCAAGATAACAGTGATTAATCAATCAACATATTTTCTGTTAATCCTTTGATGACTAGGAACGATCCGTTGATTTACAAAAAAAAGTGGATGACAACAAGGGAGTAGTAATCGTATTATCGACGCAAGCCGAAATCCGAAAATGCTTTCACTGCATGGATATTTTTTGTAGTATTAAACTATAACCATCTGGGGTATTTCCAAATGACGACATCCGATGAGCTCCCTTGTTCTTTTTGTCTGTTTGTTTAGGCTGAAGAAATGAATTAACATGCGCCCTTTGTCGAAATCTTTATAGATCACAGTTAACCAATCAGTGTTCAAAATTGCGTAAAACAAATATTGCCTCCAGCCTCCAAGTTTATTTAGCTGTCCTTGCAGACGGTACCCCAGTGTCTGGTCACGCTCAGTTGCGTTGCGTATCATCCGGGTACTCACGGGGGGAAAACAATAACAAAGGCAACAACCAGTCCGTTAGATCAGTGCCCCTTTAATGAATAGGCATATACATTTAAGTGTATATTTATTTATGTAGATCTATGTTATTATGTAAACAATCTTTCTTTTATTAACCATAACTACAAAGTAAATTTATTCATAGACAAAAATATACTTCTCAAAATGTGATTTATTAATACTGAATAGCCAATATCCTCATGCTACTGTTCAGCAGCTGTTCATTCACAGTCCCATTTACCTTAGTAAATGTGATCAAGTTTCTGCTTGCATAAAGCAATGTAAAGATATTTCTATAATCAGAGCTCCAGATAACTTTTTTTGAGCAAATGAGTTTTTACTCTAGGGTTTCTATATTAAATGGGTTATAAGTATAACATTTTTCATAGGGTAACCAATATTATTTCACTCATCCATTCATGACTCTATTCGGATTTTCCCAAAATTAGTGAACATTTATCATTAGATGTATATAACCGTACTTAATATATAGGCTTGACTCAGATAGTAAATTAGCTCATAATTGTCTTTCGGAAATTAGCCCTGTTGTACGATTGCTGAAAAAGCTTCATTGGGTATTAACGGGTGCTGTTTTTATACATTTGAGTTTTTCCTTAAATGCATGCGTTTTTGTACACAAGATAATCAGTGTGTAATTGGGTTTTGAATATTTTTGGGGAGTATTTTACACAAATGTGCAGCTTATCTGTAGCTCTGTATAGCGTACACACACATTTTGATAATGAATATCATAAAAAACGACCATGAATGTGTCTTCAACTTGTGTATTGTTGATTTATTCCATGTTTGCAAGTGAATTTAGATATTATTATTTTGGTTGATTCATTGTTAATGTTTGTTCTTGTTGCTTTGTGTTAAATTCCTGTTTTTAAGGAGCCATACAAACGATGACAAGCCTGAAGCTTCCGACCGAAGAATTACTCAACGAGGCCTGGGAAACTCAGTTTTGTACAATTTTCTATTATTGGTAAACTCTATAAGTAAATCACTAGAGGAATTTGAGGTCGTTTGAACATTTAACATTACTTCAGTGTAGTTATATATCACCTGCATTTTCATATAATTAATAAGAAAAAAAAAAAAGCTACTTGCTTATTTTCTTAATTCTTAAGAGGAAAATCACCTCAATATGCATTTGTTTTCATTTCAATAAATTGAAACCTTTCATTTTTCTGTAACTTACGTTAAATGTATTTAACATAAGGTGAACGAAGTCGTCTCCGGGCAGCTGCGGTTCCCTCCATCTTCCCACGTACACCAGCACTATCAACTCAACCAAAGAGGGCACATCAACTCCATGAAGAAGAAGCCAACATAGCTATATTGAATGTGTCGTCGGAGGTGGAAATCGGTATTGGAGAGGATTGTGCTTTAACAAGCCCAAGTAGATTGAATGAGCCTCTTGAAACATGTCAAAGTAACTCTCAGTCTACTCAGTGCAGTTTGTTAGGAAGTTGTTCCATAGAAACCTACATCAATAATCCCAAAGCTGTTTTGTACTTTGCTGGTTACCAAGATTATGACCATTTCATGTTTTTCTTTCACTCGCTTGGTCCAGCAGTTTTTGAACTGAACTATCAATGTGAACTCTTGCACCCAAAAGTCCAATTGTTTTTAACTCTAATGAAATTAAGACAGGCCAAGGATGACATTGAATTAAGTTTCTTGTTTGGCATATCATCATCCACTGTTTCCCAAATTGTAATAACATGGATCAATTTCTTATATTTCCAACTGAAGGAACTACAGATATGGCCATCAAGACCAACTGTTGATGATCACATGCCAACTGATTTCGGTAAGAAGTTTAAAACCACTAGAGTCATTTTGGATGCAACAGAGATACCAATAAAGAAGCCATATCATGTTGATGCTCAGAGCATGACATGGTCCAGCTATAAACATCAAAACACATTGAAAACCATGATCGGTTGCACACCCAGGGGGGCAGTCTCATTTATTAGCGAATCTTTTGGGGGGTCTGCAAGTGACAGACAGATCATAGAACAGTCTCCTTTACTTAACCCATCACATGGTATGTTTGAAAAACAGGATAGCATTATGGCTGACAGGGGCATTATGGTTCAAGACTTATTTGCAGCCCAAGATGTTCAAGTAAACACTCCAACTATGTTAAAAGGCAAATCACAGTTAGAACCAGAAGATGTTGTTAAGGACAGAAAAATTGCTTCTAAAAGAATCCATGTCGAACCGATAATTGGTCTGAGTAAGACATCTCCCATCAAGTAAAGTAGTACTTGGATCGCGGATTGTTTATGTTTGTTTTGCTATTTCAAATTTCAGAAATTCCATTGTAAATGAATTTGCTTGAAGCATCTCTTCTTTGTGATATCTGTGACTGAAATTTGTAGTAGTAGTAGAATTTTATTCAGTAGTGTGAGTGATTGAGAATTGTTTTACACCGCTTTTAGCAATATTCCAGCAATATCATGGCGGAGGACACCAGAAATGAGCTTCAGCCATGGTACCCATGTTGGGAATTGAACCCGGGTCTTCGGCGTGACGAGCAAACACTTTAGCCATAAGGCCACCCCACTGCCTTATACAGTAGTAATATAATCGGTATGGTCACATGGCCTATAGTACAGATTTTCGTAATAATAAGTGGTCATGTGAGAGCTCGTAATTTGAAAACATGTTTCATATACAGAGCAACAGATTTAAGGAGATGTACATTTCTTGTTTTAGCTAATTGACCATTGAATGAGTGTTGTTAAAGCTATGAAAAGGTAAATACCTAATTCTAATCACAGTGTACCTAGGGCATATAAACCTAATATGGTACTCATCTTCAACAAAATCTAAATGACAATATGTATATAAAGTAATAGAGTTACCTACATTTTCACATTTATGGAGCTGAACTGAATTCATTAAGGCTTTAAAATGTTACTGGTGTTGTTGAAAATTCAATTTGTGAGGTAAAGTCTAACAATACCTAACATGATGTATTTTATTGATAGATTAATAATTGAAATATCATTAGTCAAAAGGACTGATTAAGAAAAATATGAGTTGTATTGAATCATTGTATAATCAATGTTAGTGTTGTAGCAATCAAGAAGTGAGAATGTGAAACTGTAACATTGAGTGTACATAATCAATCAAACATATGTCATTTTTAGTCAACAGCGATTGGCTCACAATATTTCAGTTATTTGAGGCTTATCCCAATGAAAACATATTCATACAAGGCTTACCTTACATTTGTACTGGCTACTGGCTTTCAACTGAGTGTGAAAATCTCCTCACGACCCAAAAAGTTTATGGAGTGTAACTTGTGACACAAGCATGTCATATTAAAATGTGAATCTCTCATGTGTCAAAGAAATTGCTTCTTTTCATTAGTTATTTATGCATATGGTAAGCTTTGAAATGAAAGATAAAGGTGACATGCTGTCATTTTTGTTTGGTGGTATTACCATATTTAGTCAAACAATTGATTGGCAAACCAAAACCACAATATTTTAACTTTGCCAATGACTTGTAATAGTCTCAAACCACAGCAGATTATTATTTCTAACTCTGTGTACTGTAGTTACCCCTGAGCTCAATGTACCGCTCCACTGATGCTCTTACAATGTGTATGTACATCGTGGTAACAGGTTGTAAACCTGTTCGGTGAAATCTGGAGGAAATCCAAAATCTCTCTCTTGAGTGTCTGAATAAACATGTGTATATATGGAACATTAGTTGAGTACTGTGTATATTCTTCAAATGGAATCTTCATGAATCTTCAACTTCACACTAAACTGTCTTAATGGTAGCTAAATCATATTGGACATGTGCATGATTTACAATTCAAATTGCTTATTCATTGCAAATATAGATCAAGGCACAGAATATGCATGATGTATGCACAATATAATAATTTGTATTAATATAACATTTGATGTTGACATGAGCATCTGAAACAAATTTATATTTGGAAAAGATGTGAACTTATTTGGATTTTTTTTCTTAAGTGATACAGAATTAACACCCAAGCATAAAATGATACTTAAGTTATAAAGACTGTCGAACAGTCACCATTTGTCACAATAAGTTTCCAAAATGTTGATTTGACGCTGGAGACCAATTACCGAATAAGAGAAAAGACCATCATCAACAAAAAGTCCAAGGAATATTTCTATTAGATCTGGATATAACTGTATGACATTTTTAGATTTTGAGTTAATTTCAAGAATAAGACAACCTGAATGTGCTTAATACACAAATACAAACTCCCAATGGGAATCAAACATACATGTAAGGTTATTACCATTGGTACATACACAAGCTCGGACTCATAAATGCCTTAATGATGTTTCCAGGGAAAAAAACCATGATTTACAATGTAGAAGCAATGTATGGTCTTAGATGTTTGGTATAAAACAGTTCAAGTTTTGGAATTAATGAGTACTGACAGAAATCTTTATCAACACTGACCTTTTCTACAAACATGTCACAGAATGTGTAAACAACAAAATAGCAAAATTGACGCTTTGCTAAGTACATCTGTCCCTGTACCTGGCAGTAGTAGTGACTACTGGGATTTAAACAAATCTGATTGTTTACACTGAATGAAGATATGGAAAATGTTTACCAGGTTTAATGTGATCATTCCTTCCAGCATATGGACATTTCACCTCAACCAAGATATCAGCATCAATAATTGCATCTGGCGTAGCACCCAGATAGGGTTCAGAACAGGAAACAAATAGACCTGCCTTTTATTGTTTTGATATTGTACATGGACTCAAATTTTGAAAGTGCTCTTTTCTCATACTGCTTTCCATGAATTACAGGCTTACATGATAAAAATTTTGTGGACACAATTGATTTACATAACTTCTCCTTATTTCTTCGGTTGGTCATTTTGGTCACTTCACCAAACCTTGAGGCTGTGAGGCGCTACTTTCTTTCTGTGTGCCACACTGGGCTCCGGGACTGGTCTTGCGTTGCTGCCTCAATATCTTTCGCAGATTCCTCAGTTACCTGTAAAGAAAAACAAAAGTCAAGACATAAAAGAGATGTCCCAAACAATATTTTTTCACATAGTTTGTTTTACATGTCAGTAATCTGAGGTGAGGTGAAATTGGGTTTAACGTCGCGTCCAAGATTATTGCACTTACACAGCGACGTGCATGCACGTGTATGTGTGTGTGTGGCTGCTTGTACCAGTCCGGACTGATGCCGATTTATAGTGCTAGCTCACTGAGATACCATGCCGCAGTTTAACATGAATACCCCACTCAGACACAGTATACTGACTCTGAGCCGACCAGTCCTTGTTTTAGCCCCTTAATGCCGAGCGCCAGACAGGGTAACAACAAGTACAATCTTTTAACGTCTTTTTGTATGACGCGGCCTGGGATCGAACCCTGGACCTTCCGCTCTCCGGGCGGACGCTCTACCACTAGACCACGGAGGCGGTGTCAGTAATCTGAAAAATACCTAATATACAAGTCTATTTTTCTTTTTAGGGAACTAATCTGCTTGATCATGATTAGGCATTTTCAAACTTAGTTAATTGCATTTTACAAATGACTCATTAACACACAACCCCAAACATTCAGATGTTGCTATGTTTCCTCACAAGCTATGATTTTAACTGTGTATTACAAAGATCAAATCTGAAAGACTTGAGGTTTTAAAGAAATTTACATGTATTATACAACAGAATTTCCAGTGTTGTGTACCTTCAGTGCCATGTCAACCATGTACTCTGTAAATGGCTGTTTAAGGTAGTGATGGTCCTTAGCAGCTGTCTGGACATCAGCTTTTGGGTGAACATATCTTAGGGCGATATTATGAGATGACTTTGAGCAGTAGTTTGTCATCATGTTGCGCACATGATCATTGTAGCCACTCATGTGTCTGTATTTATGTGGCCTTGGATCTTCCAGCATATGCTGTGACCATTTTCTTTTTGACGGCAGTTCTGCAGCTGTTACGGAGGATCCTGAATACAATATTTTTATACTACATTGCCATAATAATCCTGTTCAAAACAACACTTATACAAATATTTAAAAACTGTTTCCACTCCAATATCCAACACACAATATTTAGTCATCTACAGTTTCTCTTTTATATACAAAATCATAAACCATCATAACGTTTCTAAGGCATTTAGAAGTGATGCACATAAGGAAGAGAATATACGGATGTCAACTTCTATATAATGAAGAACACCTTAACCTCATAATATAGAAGTTGACATCCATATATTCTCTTCCTCATCATAACATTGTTGTTGAGGCCTGGGTATGATATTTCCTTGGCTGTAATATGACCTACCTTTGTACGATTTTTTGGGCTTGTGGAACAACTGCAAGTTTTCGGTACACACTGCCAGTTGAGATGAAATGCTCCAACATCAACAGCACCACAGCGATGTGCTTACAGGTTGAATGTGGTCCTTTCCCTGCAGGACACTCGCAGTGGGGGTTGACTGGCTCCCCGGTCTTCTCTATCTTCAGCTTGTAATTGTATGTGACCTAGGATAGAGTGAGTGAGTACGTATGGTTATGCACCACTTTTAGCAATATTCCAGCTCTTTCACAGCTAGAGACACCAGAAATGGGCTTCACACATTGAACCCTTGTAGGGAATTGAACCTGGCCTTCAGCAAGATGAGTAAACACTTAGACCACTAGGCTACCCACATTAACCCAAGCATAGAAGTCATACATAAAATGTGATGTATGTGCAATTTAATTTCCCATTAATAAATTCACTTTCAATCAGTTTTATGTCAAGAAATGTATTTCGGATTAGCTTCATCTTTGAGTACAAATTTCATTATAATTAAAAAAGTTTTATTTTTTATTTTTATTTTATGGTGTGTCAATATTTTACCTTGTTTTTCATAGATGCACTGACGATGCCACTTAAGTATACATCAGTAGATGCACGTATGTGAACACTGCATGCCAGCACCCTGTCCCCCTCGAACAACAGAGAACCTTTCTCTATGGCCTTGATATCATGGGCAGCTTGGTTGTCTCCTGCCATACGGTAGATGAAGTAACCCTCAATGGTTTCTTTGGAAATGAGAGGCAGCAGTTGACGATGGGAAGGCATCAGCTGTTGAAATCCTGACACTGGCCATGATGTATCTTCTGGACGTGGGATGGAGACAGATGGCCCAACAAAATCATCATTTCTGTCATAAGATTCAAGCCTGAAATGAAAATGACATACATTTTAACTTGTGCAACTACTATTTCAGATTTGCATAAGGACATAATATTATAGGAAAATAATTCATATCATTATCACTATGACTAATATATCTCATAAATGACATGCATCATGAATAAGCAATGACACCTGTACGATTAAACTGTGTTTGATAATCTCATGCCTATATACCCAGAAGACAAATTAATACCAGATATACTGATACTATTTGAAAACACATTTTCACATATTTTTGAAAGATGGCCACAATAATCATGTGGTCTCAACATTTCAAGTGAGGTCTCATTAAAAAAAACTGTAATTAATGTCAATTTGTCTATGCTGTTACTGTCTGTGCTGTTACCTTCAAACATGTAACAGCACAGACATTCCGTGGTAACAGCACAGATTTATCATCATCTTAAACTGTCTTTCCTTCTAAATGTCTAAAGGAACACCAAATTAAAAATCTTAAACAAAACTGCAAACAATCAAATATCTTCACTCCTAAACTTAAAATACCCAAAATAGACACAACACTAGCTAGCCAAATAAATAAACAAACCGACCCAAACATAGCTAAAACTACCACACTAGCATACATACACGAAAATTGGCCAAATTGGTGTCACATTTACACGGACGGATCCTCAGATCCGACCTCCAAACACACAGGTTTCGGAGTCCATACCACACAACCAACTAAAACCACACAATCCTTCCGACTCCCAAACAACCCATCAATATTCACGGCAGAACTAATGGGCATGGCCTCAGCCCTCCATAATCAAGAATCCAAAAAACACAAAAAATCCTAATACTTACCGACTCCCTAAGTGGACTGCAAGCCCTCCAAAACAAAAATACCAAAAACCGACCTAAATTAATAAATCAAATACTTAAAAGCTCCAACAACCTAAATAAGGCAGGCAAACAAATAACCTTCTTGTGGATACCCGCCCACGTAGGAATATACGGTAATGAAAACGCCGATAAAGCAGCTAAACTATCCCTCAAAATCACAGAAATAAGCTTAAACTTACCCATCTCAAAATCAGAAATTAAAAGTGTAAACAAGCAAAAAATCACAAAAAAATGGCATAACCTATATCTAAACTCAAATAGCCAAATCAAAAAAGTGCTCAGCAAACCACTAACCAAACCAAAAATTCTCCATCCATCCAAAAAAATCGACAGAGTAATCACTAAACTCCAAACAGGACACACCAACCTAAATAACCACCTAAAATTTTTTAAAAAACACACTATAGGTAACTGCCCACACTGCAAACAACCAGAAACCCCAGAACACGCACTCATCCACTGCACACACTACCTAACACATCGAACCGCATTACAAACCACCCTCAATCTAAACAAGGCTCTAACTCTAGAAGCAATACTAAACCCACAAAATAAACTAGAAAACTTCAAGGCCTTAGGCGTATTCTTAATAAAAACACAATAACCTACCAAATCAAAATTACATAAACAAACAAACATCCACCATACCCAGCTCC